GCTGGGAGGGAGCTGTCCAGCACAGAAGACGGGCTGCTGCGCTGTCTTGGGGGATGAGCACTTGGTGTGTGTGAGAAAGAACACGGAGCAGAGGGAGGAGGGGAGCGTGGGACGGGTGGGGTCCACAGGTCTTGGGTGGGGGTCAGACCATCTGGGGCTTGGTAGGCCGGGGGAGGACTTCCCAGCTGCACAAAGAGACCCTGCTGTGCTTGCGACCAACTAGTTCAGTGGGGCTGGAGCCAGGGCCTGTGGGGGAGGGGCGTGATCGTGAGAGTGGGAGCTGGCGTGGGAGTGGGGGGTGAGCAGGAGGCTCAGAGACAGTTGTCTCTGAGTTCAAACGCATCCCATTATACCAAAGTGGCAAATGTCTAGCTGGCCTAGAAAGGAGCTGGACGCTGCCCACACCACCCTAATTCGTCCCTTCACTGCTTCCTCTCCTGCCTCTTTTCCGTTTCTAAGGCAGCAGGGAAAGGGGCGGGGCAGGGGAGCTGCTGCGGGGACCCCAGCCGTGCGCTGTCCTCTGTACCTGTTTCTTCTCTCCTGTCCTGCGCGGGACATGTCGCGCACACCGCGGCCCTGACGGTGCCTTTGGTAAGCCTCGCCATCTGCAGCTCAGTTCCGATCTTGCCAAACTTCAGTCTGACAAATGATAAGAAACTTGGAGACATACCTCTGGTGGGTGTGAGTTCTGTGCCAGACGCCTGCTTCCCGGAGCTCCACTCGGAGGGCCATATGGGTTGCTTTGGGGTTTAAAAAAGCACATCGTCTCATGTTCTCTGTTTCACCAGAGAACTTGACAGCAGACCAGGTGCTGAGGTTTGGATTTGGCCACGGGCGCACGTGCTGTCCGTGCTGGGGCTCAGTTCTTCTGGACGACGTGATGGAGCCGAGGGTGGGCACACCACCTGCTGATCTGCCCCCACTCTTTCTCGCTTGGTACCCCAGTTTTGGATATTAGGATCGTTCCAGCCAACACGCTCTGGCTGTCAGAAGTGGGAGATGTGTATGTAACTTAGCACGGGGCTGTGCATGTAACCGACATTCAGTTCGTATTTGTTCAGTTGCTGTGTTACTGTCACCTTCATTAGACTCAGGCTGGCCCTGAGGAGGTATGTGCAGACATCTAACAAGGGCCGCCTTCCCCACCTTTCCGAGCAGGTGGGAAAGAAGAAGGATTCATTCCTTCACTGGAACAAATCCTTACTGAGCACAGACACTGCCCGCTGCTGCCCTGGGCCCAGGGGCTGAGGCCGTGAACGGAGCCCTGCTCTCAGGGAGTCGCCATTCCCGGGCAGGGACAGGCAGGGAGGACAAGCATGATATTCGTTGGCGAGAAGTACTTATATGTGTGGCCAGGGGAGGCCTGTGTGAGAAGATGACAGTGGGGCAGGAGCCAGTGACTATCAGGGGAAGAGTGTTCCAGGCAGAAGGAACCACAGACGTGGACGCCCCGAGGCAGGACGGGCCTGGCACTCATGAGGAGCAGGAGTCCATTTTGGTGGAAAGCAGAAGCCAGGGGCCGGGGCGGGAGAGTTGGTAGGAGCCAGTCTGAGGCCTGGGGGGTCACGGCAAGATCTGGCCTTCCCCTGCGTGGGTGGGGCCTCTGGAGGGCTTTGGGCAGAGGGGCGTGCTCAGACTCACGTTTAGACAGGCTGCCTGGGCTGCTGTGTGGAGACTAAACTTAGGCAAGTGTGGAACCTGGAAGACCAGGAGGCGGAGGTCATTCCGTCAGCCCATGGCGTGTGAGGCGGAAGGGCTGAGACCCGGCTGGATTCTGCAAACGCTCTGAACGGCAGGCTGCTGGCCGGCCTGACAGACGGCGTATGGGATGTGAGAAGAAGACAGCCTGGCGGGGTGGGTCTGCCATGTGCGGGGGCGGGAAGGCTGTGGGGGGAGCAGGTTGGGTTTGGCAAACCCGGGGTGTCTGTTAGGCCCTCAAGGCGGATGTCGCTAGGCAGTTGGCCACCCTGACCTGGCCTCAGAGCAGAGGCAGGGCCGGGGACAGACGTTTGAGAGACACAAGCGGGTCATTAAAGACGCAGGACTGGACCACCGGGAGAAGGTGTAGTTCGGGAAGCAAAGCTACCTGAGGGCTGAGTCCTGATGTTCAGAGGTGGGGGAGCTGAGGGGGTCCAGGCAAGGGGACCAGGAACTGGAAAGGCTGAGGCGAATGGGGGGAGGGGGTGTGCAGGCCAAGGAGGAAGCGTGCTCTCAGGAAGAGGGAGCCGTGAACCATGTGGAGTGCTGCTGGGGGACAGCAGGCTGAGGACTTCCTCGGGTGAGAGGGACCAGGACGCGTGTCATGTAGGTAGGTTCACAGGACAAGAGGGGAGGCCAGTCATGGGGGTACAGAGTGAGACAGACTGTAGATGTGGGGGGAGCATGAGGACCTTGTGTTCTCATTGCTTCTGTTTTCTCTGAAAGAAAGGAGCAAGGTGGGCCGGCCGAGTGGTGCATTGGTTAAGAGTTGGCTTGGGACGCCAGCTCTGAGCAGCAGGGCCCCGGTTCGGATCCCACATGAGGGCCAGTGACGCTGCGCCCTCTACAGCTAAGATGGTGAACAACAGCTCGACCTGGAGCTGGGTTGCCGTGAGTTGCTGGCAACGGCGTAGGCTGCAGTGGGGCTGGGGTGTGAGCTTTCGTGAGCTGCTGTCAGCCTCCATGAGCAGCTGTCCAATGGCCGGTGAGCAATCTGCCTCAGCTGGGAAGAGCGCAATGATCACAATACCAACATGGGCCAGTGAAGCAATGTCCTCCACAATTAGACTGAAGAACAAAAGGACAGCAACTTGTCTGTTCCCCTTCTTCGATTCCCCAACGCTGTTCCCCTCCCCCAACTGCCCAATTTAAAAAAATCTTTAAAAAACAAGGAGCAAGGTTACTAGTGGAGAGGAAGGAGGAGGGGTGAGAAGGGAGGTCAGGAGACAGGAGAGGGTGAGAGCGGCTGTCTGGATGGGGGTGGTGAGAGAAGGATCCCGCATGCATGCCCCTGCTGCTGGGGTCAGTGGTCTTGAGTGAGGGGAGCCTGGGAAGTGCTCGAGGGTCCGACCCCTCCAGCCTGGATGCCAGTCAGCCTCAGACAGTGAAGGGAGGCATCAGAGAAAACAGTGAGGAAGTGGGATGTCAGTCCAAAGGGAGCCAGCCTGTCACCCGAGTTTTCCCTAAACGCCGTCCTTGAGGTGCAGTCACTGTCCTCAGAATGGACTGGACTTGGATTTGGTCCAGTGCAGGATGGTGACCTCAGAGCTTCCAGGGCCCAGCCCGGCTGGCCGCCCAGCACGCTTCCTCCAGTCCCATGCTGGGCGGCCGGCAGGGCTAGGCCCTGCCATGCAGATGCCATCCTGTCCTCTCCACACAGTGGGCGGGCGCTCAGTGCTGGTTTCCTCAGCACCCAGCCACCTCTCCCAACTCAGATGCCACCTCCTGCAGGAAGCCCCCCAGATGGCTCTGGCCTGAAGTGCTTGTTGTCCTCTGCGATTTGGCTCGTTGGCCTCTGTTATTTGGCTCTGGGCCCCATGGCCCAGCCTTGGCGAACGTCCCCTTGCATAGCTTACCTCCTCTGCTGAGCGGTGTGGTCAAGGGATTGAACTGAGTTGGAGTCCCAGCATTATCGGCGTCCGGCTGGGTGATGTCGGGGGACCCCTGTAGCCTCCCTACACCTCAGTTTCATCTAAAACTGGGGACGCAGCATCACTACCTTCATGTAGGGAGCCAGAGGTCTGCAGTGAGGGTTAAGCCTGAGAGCTGGCAGCCTGACAGGCTCTCAGGCCCGGGTGAGCGGTGTGGGAAGGTTGGCCGCTGAGGAGAAAACAGCCAACGGCCTTGAAAGCTACAGAGTGAAAGGCCATCCTGTTAACAGTTTCTGCTTGCTATACTTTGTTTTGTCTCGCTTCGGAAAGATTGCCTCCAAGGAATTTGTTCCCCGAGAGAAGGGGGCTACTCCCTCAAGTTCCCCAAAACCCCCTACCCTAGGAAAGTTACTTTTGCTATAAAAGCTGTATACAAATAATAAACGAGGCCACTGTCTGCCATCAGCATTGGGTGGACCTCCTGCCCCCAGCTTTCATCTCTAGTCTCTTTCAGTCTCCCACCCAGTCCTCCCAGGTACCCTTTCGGTGGGACCCTTTTTGAGTCAGGAACGCTTGGCTGGTGTGCGGATCGCATCACCTTCGCGTGGGTTGGCAGGAGTCATTCACATGGCTCTGTGGTTGGCACATGGGTGCCCCAGTGGGTGTTTCTTTCCTCTAAATCTAAGTAGCTTCAGGGCAGGTGCTCAGCTCGGAGCTCCCTGCAGCTCTACAGGGCCTGTCCAAATGCTTTTCACGTTTGTGTGCCCAGTAAATGTGCACTTGCTGAATTTGGGGACAATCTCTCTAGAACTTTCCTGTAACACCTTTCAAAATCCAGAGTAGTTGAGGGCCGGCCGAGTGACTCAGTTGGTTAAGAGCTCGCTCAAGAGTGCAAGCTCTGAGCAACAGCGGTTCAATTCCTGGCCCGAGCTGAGCTGCTGTTGAGCTGCCAACAGGTGGCAGGATGGCTCAGCTAAAAAAAAAAAATTCAGAGGGGTTGAAATATATAGTCATATTTTTCATTCAGTTCTTAGTAAAAAATACTGTGCATGTGGCTGTGAAAAATAAAAATTGTATGTCAGAACTGTAGTTTTTAGGTATCAATTAACACAAAAGATTTTTCATATGGCTTAAAAGGGAATGAATTGTGCATGAGACTTATTGCTTCACATCATGTAGAGTTTTTTGGGGTTTTTTTTAGACTTACTAAGACCATTTACAGAGAAAATTGCCTTGAAAACAATCAGTAAGTGCAAAGTGTTCTTTTTCCCATAGACATGTCATTTTGCAATACCTATGACTATGAGTCTTTGAAAACATTTGATTTTAAAAGAAGCGTTTAAAAAATGTTCCCCCCCCCTTTTTTTTTATTACCACTTTGGTTTTCAACGTTGGATCTTTTGACTTTTCCTAAATCACTTTTATACACAGATTTTCAAAAACATTAAAACTGTTCTCAAAGCTCTCGAGCTCATTGATGTTAACAAGACCGGCCTGGTCCAACCACATGAGCTGAGGAGGGTGCTGGAGACCTTCTGTGTGAAGATGAAAGACGATGAATACAGAAGGTAAGTAAACGAAGACACGCTGAGAGATTGCTTGGTGGAACCGCAGACCGGTTTCAAACTGGGACCCGTCGGCGTCACTGGATCCACGCGCTGTCCTCACCTCCCGCCGTCCCTGCCTCCACTGTCGTGAAAAGAGGCACGCACTCGTTTGGCGTTTCTCCCATGTTGGTGCAGCTCTCCGTGGATTCTCAGAAATGAGAGCTAATGGTTCTAATGCCTTCAGGGTGTGAGCGTCATCTGGCTTGCAGATTTCACAATCTTGAATATTTAAGTGATCCGTCACCAGTCGACTCTGTGTCCCCTGGTTGGCACCACACCGTCCATCCCATGTGCTTCCAGCTCCCAGCTGACTCTGACTCAGAGCCTGGGGTTAGGAGAAGAATGAAACATTTCAGGATTCGTTCATTAGCTGCCATGCCTCCTCTTGGCTCTCCAACCGAAACTTCATTTTCTTTTGACGACCGGTACTGCTGAGGTTGGGGGGACATTGCAGCAGGGGACAGTGAATAACTGAACACTTAGCGGCTTCTTGGCATTTGAAAGCCACTGCCACCTGCTCGTGACTTGAGGGCAGTGTGTGGGAGTCGGCAGTGGCGTTCTTTGGAGCCTCCAGTAAACTCCAGAATGTCTGGTTTCTGTGGCTACTTGAATTTTGAGTGGTAGCCGCTGGAAGGTGGGCCCTTGTTTACCTTTGTTTATACAGTGCTCACCTGAGAGGTACGCTCCTTGGTCCTGCCTTTTCCCACCTTTCGGAACATCCACCAGGCCACCACCCAAAGTACCAGGCCTTAGCACTTCACCCGAGCCTGGGAGTTTCGCGTTACCCTGCGGTTACCCATCGCTGTTAAAGCGGGTTGCTGTGGTTCCCCGCGTACTATTATAAAGGCAGTGCTGCTTCCATTAGGAGTAGAGTTTTCTCTGACAGCAAGGAAGTCAGGACAGTGTGTGACTATGACATGGGCACTGCAGGGTCTGAAAAGCAAGGGGACTTTTAAAAACTGGATATTTCCTGGTCTTTTGAATAATTCCTTCTTTTTCCCTTTTTATAACCCACCTCAGAATATAAAAGCCATAATAGATGTTTTAATTTTTATATCTTTCCGGCTGGGAAAGTGTCCAGAATAAGATCCAAACAAAACAAATTAAATAATTTTGTGCACGCAATTATAGAACAGAAGCAACACTCTTTTAAAACAGGCAATCAAAAAACAAAACAGTGTTTTATTTGACAATAAACCTTGCGTTTGGCACTGCAGTCTCCAACCTAGTAAATCTATAAAAAATGTTACTGTCTGTTTCCCCATCTCGTAAGGATTGAATAATAAAGAACTCCACAAATTTTTATTTGAGATTTTTTTTTAAGCCTCCAAAACAATACTGTTTTCATGATAAGGCTTGGAAACGTAATAGAATTGCTTTCCTTTAGACTGGAAACGGAAAAGATCAAAGTAGCCCATTTCTTCAATTGCTTTAATGCTTTTCTCATTGAAGCTCAAGAATACTCTTCTCCTTCAGAAGCTGCTTCAGTATTAACTTCGCCTTTTTAGTTTTTGAGCAAGAAACACAATGCATTTTTGAATCCTCCTCCTTTTTTTTTTTTAATCTAATAGCTTCTACTTAATGTCAGCCTTTGACGCGTGGTGTGGTAGGAATGGCCTGGTCTTTGGCGGCAGGCGCGCTTGGGGCCAGGCCTGTGCTCTGTCCTTGGCTCCAGGGTCTTTGGAGGCTCCCGAGCCTGTCTGAGACTCGGTTTTCTCTTAAGGAAATGGAGACGGTAGAGCCAGTGTGAAGGGCGGGTGTGAAGAGCCCACGTAATGCACAAAGTCTGCCCACAATGCGCCAGCCACATAGTAGGCGCTTGGTTCCCAGTGACGATATGAGAACTGTAAAGTCCCATTAGCACCCTTCACTCTTTGATAAGTAGCTCTTCCTAGGCTGCAGAATACCATCCAGCCTGTGTAAACAAGATTTTATACTTAGACTATCCTGAGACCCACTGGGTTTTGTTTTATTCCTTCCCATCTTGTACCACCCACACCTCCATCGCCTTGCAGGCCACAGTACTTGAACCCAGGTAAAATAATTTGTGAACAGCCTGAAAAACTCACTCGCTTGCTAACTCCCTGGGGTCAGCCTGCTGCCTGAGCCAATGGGTAAAGCCCAAGGCACAGACATTCCCAGGCGGTGATGCCAGAGAGGTTTATGGGGCTGTTGGCATCGTCCCTTGGCCCCTAAAGTTGGCCTTCCGCTGTGATGACTTGCCTCTAGGGCCCTGCAGACGTGTGAGCTCTCCTGCCCAGAGAGAGGTCCCTGGGAAAATAGCCTTGGTTGTTGCATCGTAGGAATGCTTCTGTCCCCCAGGCATTTATTCTTGTAAAAACGCCTTTTGAGACACTGCACGCTTGGGCAGTGCTGCGGCTTCATTCTTGTAATTTATCTGTTAGGAACTGTTAACCACAGGATTCTGTCTGTGCTCAGTGACTATGCAGCAAGTATGATGAAGGTGGGTGGGCGAGGCACCAGGAAAGGCCAGGAGTCTCTTCTGAGCAAATACATTCCAGCTCGAAGGAATGCTGGATTTTCCCAGAAAACGAGGAAGCTGAGGACGAGATTATTTTATCAGCATCTCTGCATTTTCTTGGAGCAGCAGAGTAGCCAGCACTTTGCATAGGGCGACTACTCAAAAGGAAAACATATGGTGCCACCTCTGGGGTCCTCGGGCTTACAGCCTCCTTTTCACAGGACACATACTGTTGGTGAGAGATGAAGCTTATTCCGGAAGTCTCCGTGGTAACATCTGCAGTGATCATATCTCAAGATAATTTTTCTTATTAGAACAATAGGCAAGAGTCATCCAGGTGTGGAAGAAAAGGTGTGCATTGAAACGAATACATGACATTACTCTTTGTTAAATTTGGAAAGCAGAAAAATAACAAATACTTTAAGTGATAATTACTAAATTTTTAGAAAGCAGCGTGAGATTAGGTAATTATAGAAACCAACACATATGGAGATAATGTAACTAAACATTTAAAAACTGTCATTTTAAAAAAATAAATGTAATAATGCAGAAATTATCTAGAAAACCATTTATCAAGTGGCACATTTGAATAATTGGGGGAAAAAATTCCAAACATCCTATTTATCTTAACTTAAAAAAACCCCCACAATATCTCAGTATATTTCAAGTATATTTCAGGGGGAAACATGGGTTGTGTTAAAAAATTTTCTTTTTGCATGTAGAAACCATGGAACGTACCAAGAAAAGCCCCCCTTTCCCACCACAATTAACTGCTTTGAAACAGTGTGTCGTCTTGGGCTTTGGTTTCTCTAATGACATGACATGCCCAGTCAAGAAGACGGGTTATGTTCTTCCCTCCACCTGGCTCTAGGTTTCTCTGGTTATAGAAATCTTACGTTAACGTCTCATGACCCAGATTCACCCCCCCCCCCAATTATTAAAGAAAAGTGGGACCTACTTTTGCTCCGAGAGCAGAAGTGGCTCCCGTGCAGCACAGGCCCTGGGCACCCTGTCCTCCTGCCAGAGAAGGGGGAGGACCGTTTGGTGTTGCAGGAGGGGCCTGCCCGTACCAGGTCCTGAGACGTTCCTGGCCCATTCGAATCTATATGCATCCACTGGTGGACAGAGAAAAGTGATCACCTTCGAAGTATCTGAGTTTTTTAAATAAAGCGTGACATTTCCTAGGGTTTATTTTTAATTCCAGCTCTAGCTGGAAGCACACACTAAAATGAACATCCACCCTAGTGGAAAGGAGACCTTAGTAACAAACTTTCTTCATTTCAGAGTCTCTGTATCATAATTTCTGATCAGTAAAGAATATTCCTGTTTTAGGTTTGCACAACACTACAGCATTGATAAAGATACTGCTGTGGACTATAATGTGTTTTTGAAGAACCTCAGTATGAATAATGACTTGAACCTTAGGTACTCTATGGGAAATCAAGGTACGTACTTTCAAAGTATCCTTTGGTGTGGTTATTGCTATTCTATGAACTTATCCCGAGAAAATACTGTCAAATATGGAAAATGCATTGTCCCCAAAGATAGTCATGGCATCATTATTTATGAGAACAGCACAAACGTCTAACAAGGGGGAATGGGTGCGTCACAGCACATCCACACGGCACAGTGGGCAGCCACGAGCCGTGATGGCCACGAAGTTCATGATAACGGGGAAAGGTATGTGCAATATCAGCAAGCAACTGGAAAGAAATCCCAAAATACAGATTTAAGGGATACGTCTCTGGGTGTTGTTTGGCTCTTTCTGCTGCTGCTGTATTTTCAAAATATCTTGATAATGAGCCCGTGATTCCTTTAAAGGTGGGGAAACCCTTACTGTGAAAGGGCAGGTAGTTGAGTAGTTTCTACAGTTACACAGGACGTGCCCAGGCGGCTTAGAACCCCGAGGAGGAAGCGCTTTCCATGCTTTGTCACGCCGCAGCTGCCCACCTGCTGGGTGGTTAGGAGACAGCAGTTCCATGAGGATGGGCGTGAGGAAAGCAGTTGAGAGTCTCCTTCTCAGCCCTTGGCTCACTTGAGGCCACTGGTTTTTTGCTTCAGGGCTTCTCGCCTGTGACTGGCTCATTCAGGATAGGTTGTCACTGTCTCATTTCAACTTAATTCAGCGCAGCACCTTCCATGATTCTCAGATCTGCCTCACTAGCAAGCTTACAAATGGCAGATTCTCAGATTTCAGCTCCGTTTCACTAACCAGGAGAGCTCATAGCAGGCTCCAGACTCTCCTTTCTAAAGCCTCTCAAGTTCGGGGAATTACTAGACAAGGTAATCTTCCAAGGTCCTGTATTACTAGGCCCTTCATTGGTTACAAAACCAACTAATATACTCTATCTTTAGGAAGTGTGTGTGTGTGTTTATTAATATACACATATGATATAGGACAGGTATATTGTATATAGATAATAACACATACTAAATAGGGCAGGTAAGATAAAATAAGTCACATAAAAAAGAATAATAGAGAGCATCTGTTTATTGTGCTCTATATAGATACTTTATAAACCCTGATTTTAATTTTGATTTCTCTCAATAGCTTTGTAAGGCAGGTGTTGTTATCCCCATTTTCAGATGAGAAAACTTGGACTCATGGGTTATGAATGAATTTCCCAACGTCACACAGCTAGTTTGTGGTGGCGTCGAGATTTAAACTGTTCAGCTCCAAAACAAACTATTTAAATGCCTTTGAGAGAAGATCAAATGTCATGGGATGGTCACAGGAGGAAGAGGGATGGCCGCGTAAGAGCCAGGAGGCACTTTTGCAGGACCAGGGTTCACAGAATGTGTGTGACAGACACCGAGGGAATGCGCCCCTGGGGGACGTGTTTGGCTGAAGCATGGGCTGTGCGGTTAGCCCGAGTGGGATCTCAGGTGGCATCTAGTCTGATTAGGGAGGGCTCTCATCACAAGTAAGTTCATACACCAATTTGATAACCATACGAGTTGGCGTCACATATTGAACATGTGAGCGTGCCAGGCTCTGGGCTAAGTATGTTCCTATGCCGTTTCTTCTCATCTTCATCGCAGCTGTGTGAGGCGGGCACAGCTGCAGAGGAGTACAGAGATGAAGTGAATCATTAAACTGGTCCTAACCCCTGTCAGCATCAATCCTGGCACCTTTCCATGCAGATCTGTGCAAAGGAGAGACAGACAGAAAGAACTATATTTGTAAAAACGGGTTCCTATAGGTGCTATTTTATATAAGTTTTTACTTGGGTATATCAGATGAATAGAAATTGAAATGAAACAGAGGACAGTGTTGACAATCTTTTTTTTGGCTGCATGTAATATCCACGGGTCACGCTTTCCCCTTCAGAACATCAGAGACTTTGATCCGTTGCTTTCTGGTACTGAGTCTGTCTGTGGAGGAGTCTGACACCTGCCTAATTTTCCCCCCGGTTGTAACTGGTTGTCTCAAGAATTATTTATCCCCAGTTTTTTTCCGGTCAAGATGGTGGAGTACGTAAATGCTGTACTTACCTCCTTTGAGAACCACATCAAAATTACAACTAAACTACAGAACAACCATCATTGAGAATTGCCTGCAGTCTAGCTGAACTGAAGTCCTACAACTAAGGACATACAGAAGAAGCCACCTTGAGACTGGGGGGAAGGGTGGAGACATGGAACGGGCTGGTTCCACACCTGTGTGACCATTAAAAATTGGGAGGGATATCTCGGCTGCAGAGGTCCCCCAGGAGGAGCGAGGGGTCCCAGCCCTACACCAGGCTCCCCAGCCCAGGTTCCAGAGCCAGGAAGAGAAATCCCCACAACTTCTGGCTGTGGAAACCAGCGGAGATTGTGGCTGAGTGAGACAGAGGGTGGCTGCAGTCCCAGGTGCTCCTCGTAAAGTGCTCACACACGGACTTACTTGCTGACGGACTCGCTCTGAGCTCCAGCGCTGGCATAGAAGCTTGAAAGGTGCCAGGGACATACAGGAAGGAACTAAATTGTCTGACTTCAGAGCGAGAGCTGGAGGGGCAGCTTTCTCCAAGACAAAGGAGCTGGCAGAGCTGTTGTTCCTTTGTTGAATCTTCCCCCTTTCTGGCATGCAGACGCAGGCGGCCACCATATCTGAGTCATCAACCTGGCTAACACTGGTCACCCCGCCCTGGTGATTCCCTGAGACCCCCCCCCACCCAACTTTTGGGCCCACCCAAGCCACTTCAAGTGGCTTTTCCATACAAACAGCCTGTCTTGGCTCATGCTGCAGACTTTCCTAAAATCTCTGAAAGGTTCACAAATCCCAAATAAGCAGTGTGTGGCTTCTGTGTGTCCCATATGTTTTTCTGAGCAGCCCTAAGCCCAGCACTAGGCACAGCCAGCCTCAGTTAGCTGGGCCTCTTGACGCACCTCTAAACCTATCTGTGGATTGCTTTGTGGCTCATGCCAGGTGGCCCTGGGCATGGCACAGGCTGTAGCTGACCTTTGCAGGGACCCTCCTGGGAGGCCCTGGGAATTGGCACACCTGGAGGCCAGCTTTGGACTGAGCTGGAGTATCACCAGGTTGCCTCCAAGGATGACACACCCAAAGGGCAGACTGGGCAGGCACCAGAGCCCTGCTAAAGCAAACCCTGCTCTGTAGGGTCAGGCCCACACAACAGTACCTCCACTGTAGTCACAGTCCTCACAATCAATCAACTCGAGGCTGAATCTCTCCCATTGACTTGCAGACAGCAGACAAGGCTCAACTACAACAGGAGGGCACACACAACCCACACAAGGGACACTCCTGGAGCACCCAGCTCTGGTGACCAGGGAGACTGTGCCACTGGGCCCCACAGGACAGCAACTACATAAGGCCACTCTACTGAGATCAGGAGGCACAGCAGCCCTACCTAATACATAGCGACAAACACAGGGAGGCAGCCACAATGGGGAGACAAAGAAGCATGTTCCAAATGAAAGAATAGACCAAAGCTCCAGAGAAAGAACTAAACAAAATGGAGACAATCTATCAGATGCAGAGTTCAAAACAATGGTTATAGGGATGCTCAGTGATCTCAGGGAGAACTTCAACAAAGAGATAGAAATCATAAAACTAGAGATAGAAAACATAAAAAAGAACCAGTCAGAAATGAAGAATACAATAACTGAAATGAATATACTAGAGCGATTCAACAGTAGGTTAGATGAAGCAGAGGATCGAGTCAGTGATTTAGAAGATAAGGTTGCAGAAAACACCCAATCAGAACAGCAAAAAGAAAAAAAGAGTCCAAAAAATGAGGATAGTTTAAGGGGCCTCTGGGACAACAGCAATTGTACCAACGTATTTATCATAAGGGCACCAGAAGGAGAAGAGAGAGAACAAGGAGTTGAAAACCTATTTGAAGAAATAATGATGGAAAACTTCCCTAACCTGGGGAAGGGAATAGACATACAAGCCCAGAAAGTGCACAGAGTCCCAAATAAGATGAAACCAAACAGGCCCACACCAAGACACATCATAATTAAAATGCCAAAGTTTAAAGACAAAGAAAGAATCTGAAAAGCACCAAGATAAAAGCAGTTAGTTACTTACAAGGAAGCCCCCATAAGACTGTCAGCTGATTTCTCAACAGAAATTTTGCAGGCAAGAAGGGAGTGGCAGGAAATATTCAAAGTGATGAAAAGCAACGACCTACAACTAAGATCACTCTACCCAGCAAAGCTGTCATTTAAAATCGAAGGACAGATAAGGAGCTTTCCAGACAAGAAAAAGCTGAAGGAGTTCATCACCACCAAACCAGTATTACAAGGAATGTTAGAGGGACTTCTTTAAGATGAAAAAGAAAAAAGTATGTGAATAATAAAATGGCAATAACTACATATCTATCAACAATTACTTTAAATGTGAATGGATGAAATGCTCCAATCAAAAGACATAGGAGGGCTGAATGGATAAGAAAAGAAGACCTTTGCATATGCTGCCTACAAGAGACTCACTTCAGATCGAAAGACACACACAGACAGAAAGTAAAGGGTGGAAAAAGTTATTTTATGAAAATGGAAATGAAAAAAAACCACCAAAAATCTCAGGTATCAGTACTTATACCAGACAAAATAGATTTTACAACAAAGGCTATAACAAGAGACAAAGAAGGACCCAGTAATCCCACTTCAGGGTATTTATCCAAAGAAACCCCAAGTGCTACTTTGAGGGGACGTGTGCGTCCATGTGTTCATTGCAGCATTGTTTACAATGGCCAAGATGTGGAGGCAGCCTGGGTGTCCAACGATGGATGAATGGATAAAGAGGAGGTGGTACAGATATACAATGGACTATTGCTCAGCCATGGAAGATAATGGGTTATTGCCATCTGTGGTAGCATGGAGGGACCTGGAGGAAATTCTGCTGAGTTGAGTGTGTAAGACAGAGAAAGGTAGATACAATGTGATTTTTGTTATATGTGGAATCTAAAGAGCAAACAGAAACAAACTCAGATACAGA